AACAGGAAAGTAAAAGGAAACAGAGAAAAGAACTAGGAGGCAAAGGGCATTTATAGAGGTCTAAATACAGGTATGTACATATGCAAATATAGTTATATATGATGATGGGGAAATAGATCTATGTGCATATATTTATAGGTTTAGTATTAAAGTAGCAGATGGACATTTGGCCTCCACTCAAGTACTCCCTCAATGCAAAAATAGTTTATTGTATTAAACTGCCATTCCATGATGCTCACCTTCCCAACATGATCGCTGAAGACAAAGCGGGTGCATAAGCAAATGTGGTGAAGAAAGCTGATGGTGCCTGGCTATCAACAGATATAGCATCTGGGATCTGAAAGGCTTGAAGGGAAACAAGTGGCCATCTAGCTCAGAAGCAACAAAGCCCACATGGAGGAAGCACACCAGCCTGTGTGATCATGAGGTGTTGATAGAATCATGTATCAGGCATCAAAGAACAAAAAATCATATCATTATTAATGAGGTGGAGTATGGTTGGAGTGGAGACCCAAAGCCTATCTGTAGACAACTGGACATTCCCTTACAGAAGGATCACAGGGAGGAGACAAGCCAGTCAGGGTGCAGTATAGCAACGATGAAACATACAACTTTCCTCTAGTTCTTTTTTTTTTCCCCCTCTAGTTCTTTAATGCTTCCTCCCCACCATAATCATGATCCCGATTCTACCTTACAAATATAGCTAGACCAGAGGATGTACACTTGTACAAACCAAGAGCTGGAAACACAGGGAATCCAGGACAGACAAACCCTTCAGGACCAATAATGAGAGTAGTGATGCCAAGAGGGGAAGGGGAAGGTGGGGGAGATAGGGGGAAACTGATAAGAAAAATGTACAGAGAATCCCCTCCCTGGGGGATGGACAACAAAAAAGTGGGTGAAGGGAGACATCAGACAATGTAAGACATGAAAAACTAGTAATAATTTATAAATTTTCAAGGGTATGTGAGGGAGGGAGGGAGGGCGGGGGAGGGAGGTGAAAAAATGAGGAGCTGATACCAAGGACTCAAGTAGAAAAAAATGTTTTGAGAATGATGAGGGTAACAAATGTACAAATGTGTTTGACACAATGGATGTATGTATGGATTGTGATTAATTGTATGAGCCCCTGATAAAATTATTTTTTTTTAAAGGGGGGGTTGTACTATGAGACAATGTTTTAAAAGATAAATTTAAAAGAGAATTTGATATATTCAATGTTTTTATTTGTTGCAGCTAAAAGTTAATGGAGTAATTTATGAGCTTTTTAGAACTTGAATGTCAACTAGCATATAGAGCAATCAATTGGGCTTCTTGATGTTATGCCAAGATTTTCATTTATTACTAGGTTGAAGAGTTAATTTTATATTTTGTGCAATCCACCTGGAAGACAAGGATTAACAGAATAAATTTCTGAGTCAAAAACCAAGTTGCATGTCTTTGAAAACAGTTAAAATAAAAAAAAGAAAAAAAGAAAACAGTTAAAATTTCTACTTTTAATATCTTTGGTTTAATAATTCAGGCATGGTTCCTCAGTCTATGATAAACTCCCGACAATTAAATAAATAATTAAAGAAAGCCATAAAAGATGTATTTTTTTTTCCAGAAAGATAAAAATTAAGAAAAACAAAGGGGGAGGTATCGATAAATTATAATTATATAAAAATGCTGTCAAATCAAGAAAAGTGCCCAAAATGTTGGGATTAAAATTGTATGATATTATGTCATAATTTTAATAACATCTTGCTTATTTAGTCATAACTTATTTTCCTTTAAATTTATCACCTTCAAAGCCAGTGATTTAACTGGGGAACTCACATCATTTACCTATAAAAAAATGTTTATTACTATTCAGATGTTTAGAGATGTGATAATCCTAGTTTGTTTTCTATTGTTTCAACTACATACTATTATCTCAAGTTACTATGTTTCATCTGAAACTCTTTGAAAATAGGTCAATCGTTATCTAGAAACATATTTGTCAGAAGTTTTTAAAAAAATTAATTTTATTTGGCTCGATATTAATTTTATAATTAAGTCCCATCATATCTTCCACTTTTAAGAAATAGTTTAAATAATCATGGTCATATTAAGTTTTATCATCTGTAGATAAATTCTTACATTACTGACTTGTTAAAGATGGGTGACCAAAATATTTAAAGAAAAACGGACTATATCCGACATATAAAGAAGGCTATAGTATCCAAAATGTGGATACCATGAGACTAACTCAAGATTTCCAAAACTCTTATACCGAAACTAAAGGATTGCGGGCGACCTAGAATGTCATGGGACCTACGACTCAGTAAACTACCAGAGTTACTATGACTTTTTAATGAGAATATTGCTGATGGTTAGTGTTCTACTTTCTCCATATAATAAACCGTTTCCCCCTTTCTATAGAAGAGTTCGTTATTTGATAACCAAGAGCATGATGTCACCTGCAGGATATCCTGTAAATCAGAAAATGTTACAGCACAGGCCAGGGTTCAGGCTAAATTATTCAGAATTATTTAAATGATTCTGCCATAACATATACATATTTAGTATCCGTCACTCATCTTTATTGTGTTTAACTACTGAGATTTAAAACTTAGATTTATCTTCTCAATTAAAAAAGATTAACACCCTTGGACTGTCCAACTAGCTGAGGGACTTAAACTTCAATTCAATTCAGGGGTCGTGTAGGGGAGGTGAGCATCATGGAATGCCAGTTTAATAGAACAAAGTATTCTTGCATCGAGGGAGTACTTGAGTGGGGGCCCAATGTCTATCTGCTACCTTAATACTAAACCTGGACTTTGTTTCTTAATGAATGGTATTTTTCTTCTCCTATATGCATTTGTGGCATTATTTCTTGGTGGCATTAACCTTCTACATTAGCTTTTAAGTATGTTCTATTTCCCTAGTAATCTATAACTTTTAGTAGCTACTATACCAATTTATTCTATAAATTAGATTTTATCAACTGGTAAAAGGTTATTAGTCTCTCAGTCCCTATGCCTTCTGTGCAAAACAGAAATCTTAGCATATACACTTGCTTTTACTATTAGAACTACTTTCGTTATTCCTTTTGATCGTTTTATACTATCTCATATGCCAATCACTAAAGGAAGCTATTTTATGGTTGCCATAATGTGTATGCTTTTTGCCCTTCTATACTATTTTAAAAAAATAATTTTATTGGGGGCTTGTACAACTCTAATCACAATCCATACATCCATCCATTGTGTCAAGCACATTTGTACATTTGTTTTCCTCATCATTCTCAAAACATTTGCTTTCTACTTGAGCCCTTGCTATCAGCTTCTCACTTTTCCCCTTCCTCCCCGCTCCCCCCTCTCCCATGAACCCTTGATAATTTATAAATTACTGTTTTGTCATATGTTACACCTTCACCCACTTCTCCGCTGTCTGTCCCCAAGGAAGGAGGTTATATGTAGATCCCTGTAATCTGTTCCCCCTTTCTCCCTCACCTTCTCTCCACCCTCCCGGTATTGCCACTCTCACTAATGGTCCTGAGGGGATCATCTGTCCTAGATTCCCTGTGTTTCCAGTTCCTATCTGTATCAGTGTACATCCTCCGGTCCAGCCGGATTTGTAAGGTAGAATTGGGATCATGATAGTGGGGGTGGGGAAGCATTCAAGAACTAGAGGAAAATTGTATGTTTCCTCATTGCTACACTGCACCCTGACTGGCTTGTCTCCTCCCCGCGCTATTTTTAAGATATAAATCTTCCTATACTTTTTCATGTTCAAATTCCCACTGGAGCCCAGCATGAGGATATAGTTGTAAAGTCAGTAGTTAATATAAACCCTTCAGAAGAAATAAAACAAGATAGTAAACAAATCTGCCTGACTCTCCCTTTGTAGACATCTTAGTAGATTATTCAAAAGCAAAAACACTTTACTTCATAGCTTCATTTTACCCATTGGTTTAACCATACTCATTGTTGTTGTACAATTATTTGTATCATCAACTGCTGTATGAAATGTATGTCTCATACATTTCAATAAACTACCAACTCCATTCTTCAGAGGGGAGGGTGGATCATATACTTAGGAAGACAAAACAATCATTGAAATGACTTTAACCTCTCACCATAGTCCAGGCCTCTCCTATCAAGTGAGGTCTCTTAGTTCCGTCCAGTTCCTGTACTCCCAAGCCACTATTTCATATCAATGGTACCCAGCTAACTTATCTCAGGGTCCGGGGTCTTAAATGTCTGTGGACAGACTGCTATCCAATTAAAAGACCCTGCTAACGATGAACTCCTCCTTTGCAGGCTATTAGGAAAATTTAAAACCAACTCATCCTGAAGATGAGACTAGTCCAGCAAGCAGAATACTTAAGATGTGATCGAGGATTTCCTTTGTAATGAGATTTATGTTCACAAAGGGGTACCGAGTAAGAGCACCCCAAATGAACTTAGGACTCCCGGCATAAGATGGAAACTATGCTAAAGACTGCAACTAAAACTCCAGTTGGAATAAACAATCACCTGGGCATCAGGAAAGTAGCCTGTCATTCCTTCCCTCTCACTGTACCCTGAGACATGTACTTGGGAAACAATTTCGAAGCACAATGTCACTTTGTTTGCATCAAGTTTTGCTGGCTGCTTAGAAAGTCCCTTCCAAAATAACATGCTGCGCAGATGCTTACTCAGAGCAAACTTTAACATATGCACATCCTCCCTGTAGTCACTCAACTAGGGGCTCATGCTTCTCTCGGGCCAGATGCACCCAATTTAATGGTTATTCTGTAAGTTTAAATATTAAGTTTGTGAAACGTATGTTGTCTCCTACCAATTAGCTGTACCCTCATGGAGTTTTGTACCCATCACCTGAATGTCAACCATGCACTGAATTTTTACTTGTTACTTGTATTTTCGTAGAGAAACACCCTGTCTGCTTGGGTCACTTAGTTCAGAATCCGCTAGAATTTATGATTCCCAGTTTGCAAATGGGCCTGTCTCTCAAGAAATGATCTTTACTTTCAGGTTCAACTACTCTCCTGTTTGGCTGCATGACAGATGTAATCAACGTCCCCGAACTGTTGAATTCGGTATGTCTGTGCTACCCCTAACAGATCGGTCACTTTGCCCAGCTGTTCTGACTCCTAGACCTCCTGAGCAGTCCACCAGGGTGTCTCTGCTGTGACCCACAGAGAGCTGGCTCCCAGGCCCTCACGAGGCACTGCAAGCCGTTGAGCCACAAACTTCTGCTTTCCTCACCACTGAGCACTCCCTGTGCCCGGGCCCCAGCCTCCTGCCCACTCAAGCAGCTGAGAAAGCACCAGGCCTGGTAGTGGGGAGGGAGGTCAGGCCCTGCCTGGCAGATGCCTCCATCAGCGGTTTTCCTAGCAGGCTTGTAAAGGGTTTTGAGCAGGGAGGGAAAACATTCTGAAACTCCCCCAGGCCATTCCCAGTCGGCCTCCTGAAATGGGCCAGGGTGTGGGCCAGCCTCGAGGACCCTAGAGAGTCCACTTCTGGTCCTTTCACAAGAAGTGGGGGCCGATTCCTTAGACTCCGTGGGCAGACCAACCCTGTGGGCCTTGGTATAGGGTCAAAGTGAAAGGCGCTGGGTACAGAGTCTGCCTCTGGCAGGAATTTAAACTAGAAATAGCAAAAGTGCTACCTGGGATGCCAGCATGCCAACCCCTGGCCCGGCTGGCGAAGGCAGGCAGCCCTAGCCCCCGAAATTCCGACCTCCCTGGGAAGGCCCAGCGCGGGAAGGGAGAAGGAGGGCAGGGGAACAGCCTCCCGGGCGGCTCGGAGCCCTCTGGGGCCAAGCTGTCAGGGAGGCCGCCGCGGGCTGCGCTGGCCCGCGGACGTGGCCGCCAACCTGCCGCACAGCCAACTCCCGCCCCGAGTTCTGGCTTCCAGTTTTGGGGACCCCTCCTCGCCCCGCGTTCGCTCACCATTTCTCCGGGGCCCGTCGGCAGGCGAACTCGTCTAGTGCGTTTCCTCCCGGGACAGCTCTGGGCGCACTTCCTGCTACTCCCCTTGCAGCCCGCCCCCGCCCCCGCGCGTCCCGGGGCGCTCCGGCCACACCTAGCGCAGGTCCCACAGGTAGGCGGCCAGCGTCCTGCCCGCCCTCCCAGGCCCCTCCCAGCCCCAGGTTGGCCTTAAAGCCGCAGGCCTCTGGGCGAACCCAGTCTTCCTGGTCTGGAAGGGGAACCTGGCTCCAGCCACCCTGTAAATTTCTCAGATGGGGCCTCGTGACCTAGAAAGGGCAGCCGTCGCTGCCCTTTGTTCATTTCCCTCCAAAGTCCAGGGACGGAATCAACCCTGAGCACCCGGCCAGCCTAGTCCTCTTGGACACAGAATGCAAACGCAGAAATTCCTCGCTGGAAAACCCCAAGTCCGAGGGTGGGCCCTCCTGGCTCCCCCACCCATGGAATGCTCCGCTTCTAGGTTCCCAGGGATGGCTTCTCCAGCCCACCCAGCGCAGTTCCTGGGTCTCTTCCCCCTCAGTTTTTCAGATGCTAATCAGTTACACCTAGTCCTCCACAAACTGATCACCTACTAACTTCAGCAGGACCTCCCTACCCAGCGCCAGACGGTCTGTTCGTGGAAGAGTACAGCCTAGGAACTAGCCCAGCGGGACACTTTGACTCTGTCCCCGTGGTCACTCCACTTAACACTTAACAGCAACACTAGTACCCAAGTTGGCTGTTTCCTTGGGGGAGGTCATCTCCTGAAGGTCATGGCCAAGAGTCTCTCCTGACTGCCCTGGTTGGAGCACCCTTCCAAAACAACATTCCCATCATGCTGTTGGCCCGATTCCCTAGTCCCACCTGTCACCATGATATGCTTTTGCGACACTTTGCTTTGCCTTCCCATGTCCTTTTTATTTATCTGTTTATCTATTTGGTCCTGTTGTTGCATTTGCTTTGCTTTGTTTTAGTGACACCGCCTATCATGAGTTTATTATACAAGAGAGACATGGAGATTATTTGCATGGTGACAGATTTCAGAACGTCAGTGGGACGGGCAGCTTCACACGGTGCCATTTCAATAGTGGGTTCCTCTAGTCCACATACTTCCCAAGAATGCCACCGTCTCGAAATAAGAAACCACCCTTATCATCTGGAACTACGTTGGTGCCCCATGTCCAGGGAGAAGGGCTTTCTCTCCAGCTCTCACACTCACTGGTTCGATCTCTCCACCCTCTCCCTTCGAGCCGGACCCAACAGCTACGACTGTTGCCTGCAGGACTTTTCCTTGAGGTCTTTCTGGAAGCATCATGCCTCCTTTGGTTACAGTTTCAGCAACACTTCTGTCCACCAGTACTCGGTCAAAGAGGGGAAGAAACTTTCGAAATGCCTGTCCTGCCATGATGCTGAGTGGCCGCAGCCAGTACTCCTCTCACGCTACGCCGCTGCCTTGGTTCCCTTGACGACTTAGCCAATGTTCTTAAACTGTTTTTGAAATACTGACTCCAGAGTTGGCAGTGGCTGGTGGTGAGGAGCCAAGAGCTAGCACATGCCAAGCGCCTAGCACGGAGCCCTAAGGTGCCAAAAGGGAGCAGGGAATGGTGACTTATCCTGAGTTGGGCTGCAAATCACATGGTCAGAAGTTTGAAACCACCAGTTGTTCCACAGGAGAAAGATGAGGCTTTCCACTCCTGTAAAGAGCTGCAGTCTCAGAAACCCACAAGGATGGTTCTCATCTGTCCCGTGGGGTTTTGCTATGAGTCACAATTGACTGCATGGCAGTGAGTTCGTTCAATTTGCCTTCCAGAATTCAGCAGTCCAGAATTTCCCTGCAACGGTCACCGTGGGATAGTGCGGTAGTTCCATAACCTGCTGTCAATTTGAGACTATTAGGAGTGAAGGGGTGGAGTCTACCCTGTCAATCAGGCCGCAGCTTGATGATCTCACTTGGAGGTACGACAGATATTAATAGCTCACTGGAGGCCAGACACACACACACACACACACACACACACACACTCTGCTTGTCTTCCTGCTGACAAGCCACCTGGAGACCCCTGATGGAACCAGAGCCCTAGACCTGGAGGAGCCACATGGAGACCCACGTCAGCACTGAGATGCTTACAACACCACTGCATCCACAAGATCTTCCTGCGTTTGATATCATTGCATGTGTTCCGTGAGTCTGAAGAGAAAATTATAGACTGGTATCAGACATATGGGCTGATATTAGACTTATGGACTTGATCTGGACTGGGCTGGTATGTTTTCTTAATGTAAAGTTGCTCTTTGATATAAAGTTTTCTCTTATGCACATCTGAGTGTCTCTGGATTTGTTTCTCTATGTACCAGGACTAGTACAGATAGGTAGGGTAAACCCAGTCAGAAACTGAGCATCCTAGTCACAGGGTCTGCCTTATAGACCAGTGAGGAGGCCCAGGGGAAAAGAATTTTCCATCAACTTGGCACCAGGCCAGGGATAAATCTCCTTCCTGTGTAGCCTTTATCAAGAGGAAGAACAGAGACATGCGGAAGGGAACCAGCATTCCTAGCTTTCCTGGAAGAGATTAAAAATTCCAAAGAGGAAATATCAACTCCTCAAACAAATACTTTTAAAGGATTTATGAAATTTTGGACCTCTGTCCCCTGTAGCAGGAGCCATGGTGGTGTAGTGGTTACACATCCGGCTGCAATCTGTAAGGTATGGCAGTTGGAAACCACCAGCCTCTACAGTCTCGGAAACTCACAGGGCCAGGTCTACTGTACCCTACAGGGTTGCTGTAAATCCCACTGACTCAATGGCAGTGGGTTTGGTTTGGTCCCCTGTAACAGAGTAGCCCTGATGGTGTAGTGGGTTATTTGTTGGGCTGCCACACACCAGGTTAACAGACTCCTGTAAAGAGTTACAGTCTTGGAAACCCACAGGGACAGTTCTACTCTGTCCTCTGTGGTCACCGTGAGTCAGAGTCAACTAGATGGCAGTGGGTGTTTGTTTGTTTTGGCTTGGTAGCACAGAGCCTGCTGACACTGTGAGTCAGCAGTTAAAAACCCACCAATGTGCTCTGTGGGAGAACGATGTGGCTGTCGGCTCCTGTAAAGATTTACAGTCTTGGAAACAATATAAAGCTGCTATGAGTTGAAATGGATTCGTTGGCAGTGGGTTTGGTTTGATTTGGGTTGCAGTACTTTGCATCCTGGCGGTCCTGTGATTAAAACACTTGGCTGAAAACCCAAAGATTGGCACTTCAAACCTCCCAGCCACTCTTTGGAAGAAAGATGTGGCAGCCTGCACCCAGAAAGATTTACAGCCTTAAAAACCCTTTGAAGCAATTCTACTCCATCCAGCCCTTGGGCTGTCCATGGCCTGAAAAGTCACCAATACCAGCTAACAACAGAGGCCCCATCAAAGAGACGCACTTCCAGCCATCACATTTCTTATTGTGAGGTGCCATCTCCATCGAGCTGGTCCCACTGGAACCCTGTGTACACAGAAGGAAGCACTGCTCGGGTCTGCCCGATCCTCACAATGAGTTCTCATGTCTGAGCCCATTGTTGCAGCCACTGTGGCAATCCATCTCGTCGAGGGTCTTCCTCTTTTTCGCTGTCCCTCCACTTTACCAACAATATGCTCCCGGGACTGGTCTCTCATGACAACATGCCCAAAGTAAGTGAGACAAGTGTCCTCATCCTTGCCTCGAAGGAGTGTTCTGGCTGTACTTCTTCCAAGACAGAGTTGTTGGTGTTTTGTTGGCAGTCCATGGTACTTTCAATGTCTTCGCCAGCACCGTAAATCAAGTGCATTGATTCTTCTTGGGTCTTCCTTCTTCAATGTCCGACTTTCATATGAATACGAGCCAATTAAAAATACCATGACCTAGGTAAGGCACACTGCAGTCCTCCAAGTGCCATCCTTGCTTTTTAGCACTGAAGAAGACTCAAGGCAATGTGCCCTTTGATCTCTTGTCTGGTGCTTCCTTGAGCATTGCTTGTGGAGCCAAGAAAGACGAAGAAAGATGAAACCTTCCCCTCCAAACATGGACAACTTCCATCTTTCCTCCATTTATCACGATGTTACCGATTGGCCCAGTTGTGAGGGTTTTTACTTTCTTCACAGTGAGTTGTAATCCACACTGCATGCTGCACCCTTTGTTCTTCATCACCAAGCGTGTCACGTCCTCCTCACTTTCAGCAAGCGAAGTTGTATCATCTGCATATCGCGGGTTGTTCATGGGCCTTCCTCCAATCCTGATGCCACATGCTTCCTAGTAGGATTACAAAATGGCCAATTCCCCTCATGAGAGTCCCATGTATTCTGATTGCATGTTTCTGCCCATTCCTTTCATGGGAATTACAAAGACTGAGGATAGAAGGAGCCCTCGTGGTGCAGTGGATTACCCATTGAGCTACTAAGCACAGAGTCAGCAATTTGAAACCACTGGCTGCTCCTTGGGAAAAAGAGGAGGCTTTCTACCCCCATAAAACCCACGGGGGTGGTTCTATTTTGTCTAATAGGATGGCCCTGAGTCAGAATGGACTCGATGCCAGGGGGAAGGACAGGCGAGCCATACCAAGTCACTCAGCTGTGCCACTGCATGTTTCTGCTGAAGTGCTTTCCAAAGGAGTAAAGGAGACTGCTGGAGAAAATGGAGTGAGACACAAAGAGAAACATTAGAGTCTGCCAAGACAGCAAGCGAACTTTAGGGTATGTGACACTGGGTGGATATCCCAGTCTTCTCTGGGGGCCCAGTGGGCAGCGTGAGTCCTGCACCTCACAGGAAAAAGGCTGCAGAGCTGGGAGAAGACATATTCAGGAGGCTCAGCTGAAAGTGCTCCCTGGAGGACCACAAAGCTCTCCACATTGCCAGGGCCTCTTCCAGGCTCCAAGCCCCTCTGTAACCTGTTACACTGCTGCCACCCCAACTGTGACAAAGTCACCCTTATCTCTCTCAACGTTCCTTCTTCCTCTCCAACTGTGCCTGTAGACCCCTAGGTTCTTCCCTTGGCCAGTCCTCTGGAGAAACAAACCCAGGACACTTATGATTTTATACATATATGAGGATAGATTTATACAGAGAGAAGGAAATTTAACAGCTAATTAGTCCACACAGCAGTACAGAGGGTTCAGTTCAACTCACTTCCATGGAACAGTTAATATACTGGAAGTCCTTCAACTCACGTGGGCTGTGGGGTCCAAGGTCAAGGAAGCAGAGTCATCCCTGGAGCAAGGCAAGCAGAGTATACTCACAGGCAGCAAGCAGCAGGGTGGGTCACCAACAGTCGGTAGCTCGGGAGCTTAGCAAAGCAGGACTGGATGGGATATAGAACACAAACAATGCAAGACAACAGGATCCACCAGCCTCAAGCTCAAGTGACGTACACACCAGCAGCATGGCAAAGCAGGTCTCAAAGGAACCTCAAGATCTAGCCACATGATCAACAGGTTGACCTGGCCCATAGATAGTGTAGCTCATAGGTTGAGGCAGAGAACTAGCCGCAGCAGCAGCAGGCACGCTCCAGCACGCTTAGATCACCAGAGAGCAAGAGAGAGGGGAGTGTGGGGGAAACTAACACTGAGGGAAATATGACCAGGACTATATTCTCTAACTTATAACAGAGGGAATCTGGAAAGCTAATATTCCACGGTAGGAAAGACACCACTTTGGTGAGTTAGAGATAAAGTCCAAGTACATTATCCTGCTTTAAATATCACTCCCACCGATTCTCCCCATAGGGTGACCAGATTTAAAGCGGGACACCATTGACTGGGGGGCGCAATTCTTGATTAAAAATTTGGTCTATATGGACCAAATAGACCGTTCCCTAGCTTGTCGTGCATTCTTTCCAAAGATTGGGACTTTTTTTAAATGCCAAAAATCGGGACTGTCCCACAAAAAGCGGGACGTCTGGTCACCATATCCTAACAGCTCTGCTGCCTTAAAGTGAGCACACGGTTGATTCTATTTCCCTGTAGAAGCAGACATTCTTGTTATCTCCTCCCCCTCGCGCCCTCCCCCAATGCAGGTATTAGGTTTCTCACCTGTGAGCACAGGGCATACCTGGGGTTACTACCCACCTTGTGATGTAGTAACTGAATGTCTTATGGCTACCTACAAATATCCCGATGGTAAAGAGTCTCTCTCTCTGCATGGACCTGGCTGCTGAGATCATGGCCATCCCGGAAGTGAACATGCTACCATATAATGTGTCTGACTCCTTTGCTTTATCTTCTCTCCTATCTTCTGTGACTTTACTATAATCTTTATATATTATAGCCATACAATTGAACCTATGGACCCTGCGGTGGTCAGAGGCTGGATTACTCTACCAGGGGTGGGCCTTGCAGAGCCAAGCTGAAACAGAACATCAGATTGTCCTCCAATCAAATTGCAACTTGATTAACCCCACATGTTCCTATTGGCCAGGTTAGCCCAATAAACCTACCTATCACACCATCTTCTCTTCAGATGCCACATTCTCACTCTAGAACAGTGGTTCTCAACCTTCCTAATACCTTGACCCTTTAATACAGTTCCTCATGTTGTGGTGCCCCCAACCATAAAATTATTTTCGTTGCAACTTCAGAACTGTGATTTTGCTACTGTTGTGAATTGGGTGAACCCTGAGAAAGGGTTGTTTGATCCCAGAAGGGGTCGCGACCCATAGGTTAAGAACCGCTGCTCTAGCGAGAGGTTCCCCAAAGGGTCGATTTTGCCTGCCAGGGGATATTAGGCGATCTTCAGAGATATTTTCAGATGGCACATTGAGAGGAGGGATGCTGCTGGCATCTCACGGATTGAGACCAGTTTGCTAAACCTACAGGCACAAGACAGCCCATCACAAGAAAGAACAAGCTAGATCAAAATGCCATTAGTGCCCAGGTTGGGAAAGCCTGGTTGCCCCAGGGAAGTGCAGTGCTTCTGGGCTTCAATAGCTATTTGTGAG